CTCCATCCCAATCTCGAGATCCCATTAGATCCACACGCACACCGTCAGCCGCGCCAATCGCTGCCCCACCCCACCCTTACACCACTTAGCTCCGCCTCTCACGTCACTCGCCCCCCGTCATCCGCTGTAAACCGGCCCTCACGGTTCTGTAATTTCGTCAACAATTCGCCCTCATTGCTCTGTAATTCCTTCAACAATTCGTCACTACCAAAACTATTCCCCTCCCGTCCTCCCGGCGCTCTGTCCTAACAAGGCCCCCTCGCTCCGCCCGCCTCGAGATGCTCCGCTTCGCAAGCGCGCAACCATGCCTCGTCTCTCGCTCCTCCTGTGCCTTCTGGGCTTGCTACACACGCACGCCCGCGCGAGCTCTGCGTCCTCCGTGTTCGCGCCGTACATCGCCGCCGCGCGGAAGCACAAGCGGCAGCGCCCGGGTGCGCCGCCGCCGCCGCCGCTGCCGCCCGCCGCAGCGCGCAACCACTCCTCGCTCGACGCCATCTCCGAGCAGGAGGCGCGCCGTTACATCCTGGCCAAACCGGACGCCCGCAGCGATCCGCGCAAGCGCAAAGACTACGCCAAGGGGCAAACGTTCGTCGCCACAGTTAACGTGGATAAACCGTCGCATCCGGCACTCTCAGACGAGAAGAAAGCCGCGGCTGCGAAAAACTCGACGAAGGACGACGCGCGCCGTGACGAGGACGCGAAGCGCAAGAAGGCGGAGGACGACAAGCGCAAATCGCTCCCCGCGGACGCTGCGGGGCCCGCGCGGATTCTGCACGTGCCGCCGCCGCCTTCGGCGGTGGCGTGGTTCGTTATCGTCTCCGCTTTCGCCTGGGGGCTCGTGCTGTTCGCTCGTCGGATGGGGTTCCCAATGGTCAGAAAGCATCGCAAGTCTAGGATGTTGCGGAGGCGCCTCAGGGCAGCGAAGCACAGTAAGGTGTGACGGAGGACGACTCTACGGTGATTGCTTGCCGGACGTGGTTGAGGTGAAGATGCGGCAGCGGGTCTCGGGAATGATTGCGGTAATTCACCTCTCAGCTGTTGCATCTCGCCCGAGCCTCACCCCCGGTCTTAGCTGTTGCATCTCGCCCGAGCCTGACCTTGTTGCGATAGATTTTAATGACTGCCCCTCCTTAATTTTCAAACATGATTCAAAATTCATCCGGGCATGCCCCTGTCACGCTGCCTCCAAACTCGCCCCAAATTACGTCACAAAACATGACAAAGCGTCCCGCCATGCCCCCAATCTCCTTCGGCATGCTCTTAAGGGCTAAGATTAGCCTTCAAGCCGCCCCCGCACCTTTACAGCGCCGCCATGTACAGGACAGCGCCGCCATCTGCACCGCCATCTGCACCTCACCACACGCACCTCCTCGCGCCTCCCCCAAAACCCGCCTTCTCCGCGCCCTCCACGCTACGTACAAAGCCCCAACCCCAGCCGGAGCACTCGACACATCTTCCAGCCTCGACTCTCGCAACCATCGCGCCATGACGTCAACCGACACTACGGTGCCGTACCTTTACCCCGCAAGCGCATCGCCCCTTCCCATCCGCGTTTAGCCTGGCGCCGCAGTGATCGCTGCGCAGCCGCCCACCTACGTCATTGGTCGCGTGCCGTACCAAGGGTACTGTACCCTTGGTACTGTATCCACAGCAGGCGCAAGTGCGTGCAGCCCAGTTTGAAAACCGTACATGCTGTACATCACTGTACGCGCCGCCGCCGCGGTGTCGCGTCCCGATTTATACTTCCGTGCCTAACCCTCCCCCTCGCCGCATCCACTCGCGAGCCCCATCGATACCCCGCGCAACGCTATCCGAGCCCCCCCGAAGCGTCGCTACGTCTCGCTACGTCTCGCCACGTCACCAACGCTTCTGCGCGCGCCGCGCGTCCGCTGAGCCATCCGCACGCACCCGCTGCATCGCATCCATCTTGTCCTCGCTCTGCAAGACACCCCGCCTCTGCCACCTTGCTCCACTGCCAACACCCCCGCCCCCGCCGCGCCCCGCCCTCACTTCGCTCGCCTGCACCGCCCGCGCCTCTTGACCACTCCCCCGCCGCCCTCAACGTAGCCTCGCCGCAGCCCGCCTCGCCGCCAGCGCCCGCCCCGCCCGCTCCGCGCAGCCCCCTCGCTTCCGCGCTACGATGCATGCTCCGCGCCCGTCTGCTGCCCTTCCCGCGTGCGGAGCGCCACTCCGTACCCCCCGTGCCCGCGCCGCGGCGGAACAGCTGGCACCCCCACTCCATCGCTGCCGCCAGCGTGACAGCCTCCCGGATTGCTCGCGGCGCCCAGCGGAGAACCTTCCAGCACACTCGCCACGTTCGACCCCGCATCGCCTGTTTCTAACCGCTCGGCATAGCTGCCGCCTGTTTCTCGCTGCTGTCCGGCCGGTGTAGCTCCCTGCTTTGAATTCACCCGCGCCGCTGATTGCGCAATTCATATGCTTGCTTCATTTCGCTCGCATACGGAGCTCGGCCGTAGCTCACATGACGTCGCCGATACCCCTTCCGTAGATCTACTCAAGTCCCACTCGTGAAACTTTGCACGCCGCACGCCCCAGGAGAGAGTACCGGCGCCATCCATCGCGGTAGGCTCAACGTAGAGAAACACATCGATTCTTGGAAAGGTATCAGAATCTCCTCTTACGACAGGCCGTGAGCGCCAGCACGGAATCAAAATCAATGCTACAATCACTTATCCCAGCTACATTACCACCTCTCCCGCCGACGCACCACTGAACCCGCACAGGGACGGCTGGTGTAAACACCGTGCCCAGTGACCCACTCAATGCCTTCACGTCGATCCCGAACGGTCGCAAATCTTCAAGGACCATCCTCAAAATTCGGTTTGCCCACTTTTCTACCCGTTGCCTGTGTAAACTTGCCGTTATTGAGTGCAAGAAGGCTTGTCGGTGCAGTTGCCAGCAAGAACGATAAGACTCCAAGACACTAGTTTTGTTAACGTTAAGATGTATGTACAAGTACATGTGCTTGCTTCTGGCATCACGGGTGATTCTTGACAGCTGTCCTCGAGCATACTTCCGCTTCAAGGCGAGTGTAGAAGCCTTGATATCCCCTCCACAAGGCCTTTCATGCAAATACCTCTCGCACAGCTACAGAGCAGGAAAAAGCTATCGAACATACCCAATAGGTGTACGTATTTGGCTACAGAGTACAGAGTAAAGTTTCGATATGGTGAACCGAAATGTGGCGCTTCCGAGCAACCTACTGAGTTCGCCTTACCCCTGTGCTCCGAAGTAGATGATTTTCCTTCTACTTTCAGAAATAGAACAAATTTTTACTGAAGTAGAATCTACCATCTATTTTCGATGAAAAGTGAACATTTGAGGAGAATGTTCTCAAACGTCTCCAGGAGAAGTTCTCTCCGCGAGTAGGAGACGTCACTTCCATCCAGAGAACGTTCTCCAATTTACTCCAGTTCTCCCCAGTTCTCCCCTATCTCTCTGATCGCCTTTTACTTATGTCCTCCGCTGATCGGTTACGGCTGTCAGTAACGGCCGATGACAGTGTTGGCGCTGCCTCGCCAAGTTGTCATGGTCATAGGATTTTCCCAGGAGAATCCTATGACGATGACAACTGTCAACAAGAGCCTGATCTACACAACCCTGCAAGTTGTGAGCCTGCACGCCATCCCACGAATGCCCCTCAATTCGTACCTCGCACTCGATATCTGGAGGCTGAGGCGCGACGCCAGCACGCATCGCCGCCATCACGTCCCCCGCCGTCAATTGAAGATGACCTTCCCATAATCCACGAGGACAGTGAAAGCCATGTCTGTGATGACCTCTCCATGCAGTACGCATATGAAAACCCTGTCAATGACCATTCTTTATCATCTGATGATCTCCCATTCTCGCAGGAGGTCGATTCCCAGCGGACGTCGTCCGTCTCTGGCGATGAATCCGTCGATAATGCATTAATTTCAGACATAGATGAAGAGGAAATTGCCGCAATTTGCCAAGGTACGAGGGCTCGAACGCATCAATGGGGTTCAAACCATTACTATGGTCGTCGCCGTGTGATGCAGGACTTTTATTCATCTTTATTTCAGGATAGTGTTGGTACTGGAGTGGAAAGTGAGTTCATGAATGGGGATGACAATGACCTGATTGTTGAGCACAACTTAGCGCCACCTGATAGGCCGTGCGTGGACGATGAGCATTCCACAATGTCTAATGGAGGCCTCCCTTCCTG